TCCAATGATGGAACACAACAATAACTTTTATTTAACACTCAAAAAAATGGCGACATACAAAACAAGAAAAGAAAACATATTCTATCATTTAAAAATAAATTATATTCTTCGTGCGAGAGTCGCACGAGGCACTCGAGTCTGGTTTCAAATATTGCCATTCACAAATACCTTAATGTTCATCTATTTAAATTATTTAATCTACAAGATTTTAATATTATTTAAATCTCTTACAGCACCAGTTTGAAGATGAACATTTGAGTGATTTAGATACCCAAATTCAAAACATCTTAAAAAAAAATGGACGATGAAGAAAAATCCAAATTGTACCTCCAGGTTCTGCAAAAGTATGTTACGTTTCCTCATGTGAATGCGCCTGAAAAACAACCGCCTGAACAATTTTCTGAGACAGATGTAGAAAAGGAAATTATGCAGACTGTTCCTGTGAAACAGAAAAGAACGGCACTGAAAATAATAGATTTTCTAAAAGAACATCAGATTTCCTGGACGCAGAATAAAGAACTGATTCTGGACGGTCATGTGTTTTCTGGGTCCAACATTGTTCAACTGATAAACTTTCTGTTGAGAAATAAAACTGAAAGACCTACTGCCTATGAACAGTTTAAAAATGTACTCAATGTGAATAACTTTCCTCAAGACTTTGTAAAAAACAAACATTTAATGAATGTAAAAACTAGGTATGCTAGACCTAAAAGAAAATCCTCTTCGAAACTATGCCTTAAATTGTGTTGTGTTTCTACTTCCTCTTAGGGAGGAAACTAATGCAGAAACATACAGGTGAAACCGTAACTAACTAAATATCAACTGAGAACTAAACTCTTAAGAGTCAGCTAATTTCCACACATTTAGTGATCGTATAAGTGAAATTTAAAGTGCATTGCGTTGTGTAAATGCATCCGGGACCGTGCCGTGAGAGGATCGTATAAACAAGATGTAAAATCAATATACATATAAGAAAACAAATAAAGGATATTAAGAAAACATAAGAAATAGGATTCCAGATTAAAATACAAGTTATTCAAATTCCTCAACAATTAAAATTAAATCTTATCCTAATCAGAGACTCAATTTTCTTATTTTTGTTACAGGTTTCTTATTTTAGTTACAGTTCAACTTTCTTATTTTAGACACAAGTGAATTCTTCAATTTATCATTTTCTTTTTTTTTTCTTACATTTAAATCAATGATTTGCAAATATACTATATGACTCATTTAACTTAACTTGAACTACTGCAGTAATTTCTAAGATGTTAAAAGAAACACATTATCTGAAATTCAACATCTATTCTAAGGATGATTACACAAACAAATTATATTTTTACAATATCTTATTAAGACTTTCCAGTTTGTCTCGGTAAATTAAGAAGGGGAGAAAGGGGGAGACAATTTTTTTCCTTTAGTATTAATTTAAAGATTCAATGTTGGTTTTAAAATTCCAAGGAAGTTTCTGGAACTTTACTTAAAGTTCATAGGAATACATCAAACACAGAAAAAGGACTTATCTTAGGTAGACATCTTGAAGTGGAGAACTCGTATCCTAATTCCAGGCTTTCGACGAACGGCACTGCCCCTCGGTTACAAGTCGAAGTTTCAGAGGATATCGTCCTGTCCTGGCACTTTTGGCGAAACACACGGCCGGGTAACTGGTTTTCTAACGACGAAGAATTTTCACTCTGGAAGGCAAGAGCACTGCTGCCCCGCACGGCTGCCCGCATGGACTCACAGGGAATCGTAGACTATGAAGCGAGGTATTTTTTTTCCTAATACAAGACCGAAAGACATCGTCCTTGGTTTTTCCGATAAGGGCATAGAGCAAATCTGCGGCCGGATAGCATAATTGCTGCTCCCCGCCGGAAGCACATCTCACAACGAAAATTACATCTCCTTTTCTATAGCTGAACCCAAGAGCAAGTTCGAAGTTACAGTCTTAGTCAAAGGTCAGTCCAAAAGTAACGTCCAAAAGTGATTCAAACTCGAATTTTCTTACTCTCCTTCACAAACACGGGTTCCCACAATGGCTTCATTTATCGTCCCCTTAATCTGGACAAAATTTGCGCTTCTTTCCCCGAATGACCGAATTAGGGTGATCACACATGCGCGCCCCTCTTCACTTAGCCAACAACCGGACCTCCGATCGCCAAAACCAGAACGATTACATCGAATGTTAAGTGGCAACCTCTGACCCTTCTGTCATGTACTTCCTGTCCTAAAGGTCAATTGCACAAAGAAATTTCTTCTAGAACATTTTAAAGGACAAAACGCGCAAATCATGACTTAGCAAAATTGCCTCCCTTCCCTGCTTCTTTTCACAATGAATCAAAGCTTGGACAAATATTGCAAATAAAAGGAAAATAAATAATATTCTTTGAAACTAAATAATATTCTTAGAAGCATCTGTTTTTCCGCAAAATTAAAGCATTAAAATAAATAATTCAGAATCAAATAAAATTAAAACTTTTTTAAATCAGAAAATCATTCACCTAGTTTTTTATAACGCGATCAGACAATTATCTACACAACGTTCCTTCACCCTATGGAAAAAACTTTGGTTTACCAAAATTTACAAACAGATACTACTAAGATACACAAATACACATAGAATGAAAATACAATTAAACTGTAAAAACTTCGCACATAATTCAAATGAGCATCGAGATCAGTGATACTTAAACAAAATTTTTAAACTGCAATACCTAAACAAATACACAAATTGTCATTACGTTAAACCATATCAAGTCAAAAATATTTCACTGTAATTGAAATTAATCCAAAAAAAAATCAACCAGCAAGAGTGAAGCGTCGCTAAAAAAATTTCAAACCTCAAGGTAAACACTAGTGAGTAACAAAAACATATTTAAGTCCCCTTAGTAAGACAACAAAAAAAAATCCAGTAATTCTAAAAATCCACTAAGTCCACGAGAAAAAAAAAATTCAAACTAGTCAAAGAAATCAATCAAAGCTGGACTGAAGCACGTTACTAGAACACTAAATAAAATATCCCAAATCAACAAAGTGTTCAAAACATAACCCCCAATTTAGGCAAAAACTGAGATCTATTCTGCATCAGACTCTTCCAAAACATTGTATAGTAACCTAAGTAACAGCTTTCAGCAACACCTCCACCCATAAAAAAGAAACAAAGTAACTCTTTACCGCGTCCATGTAAGCTGAGAAAAGCGCTGTATTATAAATGACAGACTCAAACTTTACGTATCAAGCAAACCCCCAGACACGTTGAAAGGGAACATAAGATCTCCTATCTCGGAAAAAAAAGTGTGCTGACTGAAACGTTACAATCCTGAACCAACACAATGAAAATGATACAACAATAGTTTTCTCAGATAACAAGTTCCTGTTTCCTCCGGTATAAGAGGTCAAGTGCCACTATGAAGTGCAAGTATTTACAAGAAAACCAGCTTTTAGGACATTACAACTTCACGCAAGACCTAACTGCAAGCAACAAATGCAAAGTTCTCAAAAGTGCTAAACTAAAAAAAAAAAAAAATACTCATAACTCAAAAATTCCTAAAAATCTCACAAATCAAATTCTACCATTCCTATAACCACAGAAATCTCAATTCTTCCACAAAAAGTAAGCATCAGAGAACTTACATTTTACGGCAGAAACCACCGAAAACAAAACAAAAACCTGATACAACAATCTTGATACTAACAAGTCAAATACAAAACTGAAGCCAAAACAAGAATTAACCCCAAATTCTGCAACAAGTCCAACCAAGAAAGAAAATTCATTAACTCAAATCAAATCTATTACGATCCACTAGTAAATTCAAGACAAACTACTTGTAATCAACAGAAAATTCCCACTCATGAGTACAGAGCTAAAGTAACTAATCTTCTCAAACTTATTTCAAAATTTTCATAAAACAAATTCCCGTTATCACAAAATTCTCATTGAAATTCACTTTCTACAATTCTCAAGACTAAATTCAATTTCTAACCGTTTAAACAATTCTCACGTGACAATTCTTCACAAACTTAAACCTCAGAAGATAACTAATCTCAATTACTCTGACTCATTAAATTAATCAGAACTTCAATCAAGCTGAAGAATTCAATCCAAAAAAAAAATAAATATGCAAACATCACTATTGCTGATCTCAGGCAAAATTTCGTATCTAACCCATGTTAACTTTAAAAGAGAATTTTGCAATTCAGAAAAACAATCTACAAATTTTTAACTCATTCATTTGTATCATTATGCCTTAAGAACTTATGAAATTCATTGCTCAATAAATACCAAATGAAATTTATCAACACATTACACAATACTGCAATCATATCCAAACATTGTAAATCAAAAAGTAATAAGATACTAAGCTAGATAATCATGAAAACATTACATACATTTCACAAAATATTATTCAATCAAGTCAAAAAGTCAAAATTTCTCTAACGTTACCCCTCACAATTACACATTTCACAAGATTCTAGGTTAAATAATTAGCAAAAACACAAAAAATAAAAAAAAATTGTAGCTAACACATAGCTAGGGCTTGTCTCATTCAGTAAAATAATTAGAGTCTTTAAGTCTCTTTCTCTTAATAGTGCTCAATAGAGTCCGTTTTACCGACAAACACTCGAAAATTGATACAAGGATGCACAAATAGCATAGGATTATTGTGAAATAATTCATTTTCCATCTTGTATCATAAATCAGTAAATCGAAAATCAAAAATATACAGCCAGAAAACACTCAAGAATTTTTAACAGTAAAAATGTACAGTACCTATTCTGCTACATAAAAATATATATATTTTTTTTCCTAATTTTAAAGCTCAGTTCTAAACAGCAGTTCTGTTTGCCTAACGTTAAAGTCCAAAATTCCTGAAATTCACAAAGATTCTCAAAATTTATCCTCTTGTATTAACAAATAAGCAAACACAAATCAAAAACTCTAATTAATCCTAGCACATACTTAATACCTTCACTAAAAATATAAGTTACACAAAATTGGCAAATTCAAAATCATTTATCGATCCGATCCTTCACTAAGCAGAGATCACGGCACCAATGTTCTGTTTCTTGACCGTGCTGTGAGAAGGATAGGACACACAAATGATAAATACAATGGGGAACATCAGTTTCTTTCGGCACCGCTATGGAAGAACTGGAAGATATAGGTTGAGAGAAGGAATGACACGGCATTGAATAATGCCAAAGTAGTGTTCTTGATCCCCGAAGCTTTCCTTGATGATTTCCGGATGTCCCACAGGGTAGACGCAATATTTGTTCACCTGTGAAATAAAACAAAAAGTCAGAAAAGCACATCACAAAAAAAACATACATAAATATCAGAAAAGCACATCATACATGAAAAGGTTTTAAAATGATAAAAAAGTACGAACCCATGGATAGAGAGATGTGAAATCCATATATTTAGCCTCTCCCTCGTGGAACAATTTTAGGGCATTGGTCCGTCCTCCGAAAAATGACTCGCGAGGATTGAGCCGGTCCCTCAGATGGTGTTGATCCAGGAAAGCTTGGAGATCTGGATTTTCTTCCTTCTGCCGTTGAAACTCGTGCTCCCACATTTCTATGACGTGGAAACTCTGGGCTCGAAGTTTTCGTGTGGCCTCTTCTGTCTTTTCTCTCAAAATTTGCCATGGAAAGCCCTTTTAGCGGATGAATGACATCCCCGTCATAGCACGAACTACACCCGTGGAAGAAACAGCCCTAAAATAATACAAATACATTAATAGTGTTCAATATGTAAATTAAACATTAAAAGTGTAAAATCATTCAAAAGAATCACATAGAAAAAGAATGGTTATATTTTCTTACCTGAAACTGATAGACGGTTTGTGTTGCTTGGCATAAACCGTCTACCGAGATTCCGGCGATTCTGTGAATGCCTTCCGAAGCAGCAACAAAGTCCAACCACCGGATCGAATCAGGGCTGTAATTCGTAGAGTTGACGTAGCCGTGTGTGGGCACCATGGCAATCGTGTCGGGCTGAATGTGACCACTCCGATATGTTGCCATACAGGCTGACGCAATGGTCACGTACCTGAAAAGAAAAAAAACAACTTCATGAGCATGATTATTCCATAAGAACATAACTGTGAACAGGATCATTATTGTATAAAAGAATTAAGATAATGACTTACTGGAATGGATCCACACCCACCACATCCAAAAACTGGGCTAGAAACTCCAGGCAACAGCGACGAAGAATATCTACGTCCAATCTATTAAAAGAAAAAAAAAATAAATATACGAAACATAAAATATAAAATTGAAGCAAGAAGGATGTAAAACAATATACCTGCAATAGGCCAGTATCTCTTCTTGGAAGTTGAACATGTCCGCCTTGTGTTCTTCGTGCCAGGATAGAAATGCTTTTCGGGCTGGAGTGCTCATAGTATCCGGGCTGTAGTACCGGGCCTCAGGCAGCGGTCCGACATAATTTTGATTTTCTCGGGAGTTGAAAAGATGGGGGAAGTAACCCTTTTTCAACTCGCTGAGACCGAAGCATCCCGGTAGCTTGGCCAACGCCATCGGTAGAAAATTTAACGAGTCTATGACCCGAATGTTCAGACTAGGGTGTCTTAAACATTCATGATCATAGACCCGTTAGGGATCACCTCCGGCGCTGTACCTTGCTCCAGGAGCCAGGCCATCACGAACTGTCCGTCGAACCTGTAAATAACAAAAAAAGTGTGAATAATATTGAAAAAATAATCGTACTTAAAAATCATGCAAACTGAAGTATTTTTAACTTACCCTCTCATGTTATGTGCCACGGCGGTGAAGCCCTTGTGCTCTGTGGAGAACAGTCAGGTGCAGAAATCTTGACATGCCGTGTATCTCGGAAACACTTTTTCTGTGCCGTCGGCATACTGAGCCACCGCGAAATTTACGAGGTGTTCCCCAGAAGACTGGTCCGTTTCAAAGTCAAAGGAAATGAACTTGTCATCAGACTTCTTCGGAGCAACACGTCGCAAATAACAACGGTGCTCAGCAGCCACGACAAACTGGCTGCAAGACGGACACTTGGTGGTTCCACACTTGTGAAGCTCTTTAGGGAAATCGCGCCTCCGGATCACTTGGCAGCAGTCCCTGCACTGGTATACCTGTAACGACAATTATTATTTTTTTAAACACAACAATTTCAAAAAAAGTGCAGGATAAATAACTTTGTTAAGATAATTTTCAAAAAACACTTACTCTATCACAAAGTGAAAACTCTTGATTTCCAATCAGGGCTTTGTGTGCTGTATAACAGGCATCAGAGCGGCAGAGACGGTCACAATCCTGGCATCTCTGAGGACTGGCCTGGAAAGCAATCAGTCCTTAGGCATATAGGGCACGCATTGGCGCATCGATGTTCTTCCGGGTGATCGTACGGCTTTTCACATGCTGTGCAATAATGGTTGCTAGCAAAAACCCTTTCAAGGATTTAATCACATTGTAATGTCCATCGTGGAGCCATAAATTGATCCGTTGAGACCTCTCTCTTCTTTTATAGACCAGCTAAAACACAGCAAAACAAAAAAAAATTCTATTAAATTCCAAAAAATCAAAGTAAAATCAGTTTTTAATAGTTAATTGCATACATAAAGCGATCTAAAAATTCCCTCTGCATTTAACATTGAAAGGAATTACATGTATATATGTAAAAGTAAAACTCATCGTGCATTCATTTTTTTATAGTTTAAAGTTTTAAAATCTTAACGAATTGTGTGCATGCATAAAATGAATCTAAAAATCACCATGCATTCAATTTTTACAAGTCATATTTTTAACATCGAAGCGAACCGCATACATAAAGTTAGTCATCTAAAAATTATCTGTGCATTCACTTTTAAAAGTTTTATTTTTAACATCGAAACGAATTGCGCGCATAAAAGTTAAAGTATTCTAAACATAAAAATTTTTACAAGTCAAAGTTTTAACGAATTCCATATATAAAATTAATCTAGCAATTTAAAGTAAACTAAGATCTCACTATGCATTTAATTTTTATAAGGTATACGTATTTTTTAACATCAAAGCGAACTGCATACATTCATGCATAAAATATAATCTTAAAATTTAGAGTAATTCAAAAATTCACCATGCACTTTTGTAAGACATATTTTTAGCGTCTAAAGAAATGCATGCATAAAATATAAATTTTATCTTAAATGTAAAATTAATCTAAAAACTTTTCAAGTTATGTTTTTAGCATCTGAATAAATTTCATACATAAAAGTAATCTAAAAAAATGTAACACAATCTAGAAAATTCCCCATGTATTCAGTATTTTCAAGTTATATTTTTTAACGTGGAAACGAACTGCATACATGCATAAAGTTAATCTAATAAAAACAGAAATATCTTGAGATAAAAATATTGATTTACCCGGTTCAAGTTTTCCGAAGAAAAGACGGCAATTTGCACATCCAAGTGGTCTTCAAATATGGCCATCTCCGCAAACGTGCAAGGGCCTAGAGCAGGGGTCGCCAAAGTGGTCTATATAGACCCCTAAGGGTCTATTTAACAACAGTAGGGGTCTATCTGACCCAAGGGGTCGAATGGGGGTCTATTGGGACTCGAAGGAAAAACAGTTCTTAATACGCAAATCAAACATATCTAACTGCGTACGTAAAAATTTAAAATATTTTTATAATTGACTTAAATATTACATTCTTTATAGAAAATAAAATAATAAATCAGAAAACAATCTGCCCCTTTTTTCCTTATGGGTTTTCGTATGAATACCGTGACGTCACAACTTGACCTTGTGACCAGTTTGTAATTTGCACGACTCATAGTATGTAGCCAGAAGAGCGATTGAGGCTTATCCGTGTCTCTTGCTGGCGAACTCATCAACCAATTAGGAGCCTTTGGCGCAGACTTGGCGAGCGACGACATTGCCGTTGGCTTTCTATGCATTAAGCGTGAAAGGAATCTTCAGTACTCCGTTTTCTTTCTTTTTATGTGTGTGGTTTTAGTGCTTTTAGTTTTTTTCTTTTTTATACGGCAGTTGCGCATCGTGTCGTTGGTTCGCTTTTTGTCTCCATCGCAAACCATACGAGCCTTGCATATGAGTCAGATGCATATGTGCGCTTGTCCAATTCTACACTGGATGCTACAAACGCAAATATCATATGCATTTTCAGCTATCTTTGTGAACTGTGAACAGTATTAAATGCTTGTAGTGTCATTATTACTACTATTATATCTACCATTGGATAATGAGTTATTGTTTCTATAAAACTATTCGTTTAGTTTTGATATCAATTTTAATTATTTTTACTTGTGAAAAGGTAAGCTTTAATAATGTGGATTAGTATAATATACCAACTTAATTTTAACTTATTTACAGAACCCTAATTTAAAAATGACAGCTTCAGTATCTAAAAAGAAATGTCGGTATTATTGATTGGATTACTTAAAATTTGGATTTATTTGTTCATCGACAAATGAAACTATTCCTAAGTGTCTTATATGCGAAAAAACTTTTGGAAATGAATTCATGAAACCATCAAAAATGAAAGATCATCTTGAAAGGCTTCATTCAGATAAAAAAAAAAAATGAAGAATTAGAATTTTTCAAAAAAACTCAAAGAAAAATTCATATGTCGACCAACTCTAAAGAGTTTTATGAAACAGTCTACTGAAACTGAAAATGAAGGAAGATTAATTGCTTCGTACAAGATTTCGCTTAATATAGCAAAGAGGGGAAAACCCCACACAATAGCAGAAGAAATTGTAGTACCTGCAATTAAAGACGTCATTGAGAATGTGATGAAAAAAGACTCTCTACTAATGTTTAAAGTCTTTGCTATTAAGTGCAAATTCTGTAAAACGGCGTATTGACGAAATGGCCGAAGAAATAGAAAACACAGTAGTTTCGGAACTAAAAAATTGCAAGTTCTCTATACAACTTGATGAATCTGTTTTTGGCGTTTCTGCTATTCTTATGGCGTATGTTAGATATTTCAGTAAAATTAAAGGAGACGTCATTGATGAATTTTTATTTGCTAAATATCTTGAAACCGATAGGAAGGGAGTGACAATTTTTAGATGTTTACAAGAATATTTAAATTAATATGACATTCCGCTTTAAAATATAATAGCAGTAGCCACAGATGGCGCACCTTCTATGGTAGGGGCGTTACCGAGGTTTTGCTACATGCCTCAAAGAAAAAGTGCCCCGTATTCGTACTATTCATTGTGTGTTGCATAGACACAACTTAGAAAAATTAAGCTACGATTTTAAACCGCGCTGATTTGGAAAACATCGACATCCCTGATTGGGTTATTGCGCCATTTTCGGCGCAAATTGATAACGTCGACATCAACATACAAGATGAGCTTGCTGAACTATTGTCCTATATTGAAGCAAAAACGCTTATTAAAAATTTGACAATACATAAATTTTGGACTAATATAAATATAAAGCAAAATATTATGAAACTTTACGAAATGGCTCAGCCATTTATGCTGGCGTTTCCAAGTTCGTATATGGTTGAAGCCGGTTTCAGTCACGTTAATTCAATTTTAACTAAAAACAGAAATAAATTAAATATGGAGCTTCTAGGGGATTTACGGTAAAAATTGACTAGTTTTGAACCCAACATAGCGAACCTTGCCAAGAAACACCAGGCACACTCATCTCATTAAGAAGTAAAAAATCTGTAGCTACTTTACTTACTGTTTCTGATTTATTAAATATTTAGACTAATATAAAGTTTTATTTTAATTACCTGAAAATTACCTTTCTGGGGGGTCTATGGAGGTTTCGAAAAATTATATAGGGGGCGATGTTCAAAAATGTTTGGCGACCCCTGGCCTAAAGGAAGGGGCCTATGAAGTTCCCTTGGCA